CAGTCGGAAGCCGGCAGCGGGGAGTGGAGCGGAGCGCCCCGCGGAGCCCGGCTGACTCCTTCTCCTTGCTGCTTTCGTTGCCAGGCTGGAGGATGAAGTCTACGACGAGGACGGGAACACCCTGCAGGACTTCGCCTACGACCACGAACCCCTCGGCATAGCGAATCCGCCCTCCATGATCGGCGAGATGTACACCTTGTATTACCCACCGGAAAAGAGGTGACAGCAACTCGCGGGGTGTCAGGCGTGAATTTTGAGCCGGGAACAAAACGGGTCTGACAGAGCCGATTGGGGGGAAAAAATAATAATGGTACTCAACAAGCCAACAGCAACAACATCAAAATAAAAATCCCGAACCCAAACAAACGACCACATTGCCCGGGTCCGGGTGCTCAGTGTAAAACCTAGAAGAAATGGAAAAGCCGCCTTACCTCCAGCAGCACGGGGGAGGGAGCGGGGGAGCCACCCGCGCCGGGGAGGGCTAGCGATGCTCCCGCAAACGGAGCAGAAATGCCCAGCCGGCGCGGAACCGAGCCAGCGCGACGGGGAGGGATCTGGGTGGGGACGAGGGGTCCCGGGGGACGCGGGGAGATGCCGCCCTCCGCTCGCCGGCGGGGAAGGATGGTCACCGTCATCGCCCGGGCTCCCGCAACCGGCTGCAGCCCGCTCCCCGGCCTCGTCGCTCACCCGTGGGCTCTTCCCTCTGCCCAGGCACGCCGATGGGATCTTCAACAAAGCCTACAGGAAACTCCTTGGCCAGTTATCCGCCAGGAAATATCTGCACTCCCTGATGGCCAAGCGGGTCGGGTAAGGGTCTCTGCTTGCTCTTTTCTGCGGTGGGCGTTGGTGCTGCTGGAGCGGAGACGCTGAAAGGGCGGTGGTTGGGGAGAATAAGGCTGTCCCGGCCGGGGTCGGGAACATGTTGGCGCGCCGCGGTGGGGTTGGGGGAGTCCGGCTCCCCAAGCCTCAGCCGCTCCTGGCCGTGGCTCCCGGCCGGCTCCCGGTCCGCTCTCGGCGCAGCGTGAGCCCAGTTGTCAGCTCAGGCGGTCGTGGAGGTTTGGTTGGGTTAATACGCTCGGGCATATAGATAGATAGATAGATAGATATAGATACACACACGCTCTCACACACACACATATGTGTGTGTGTATTTATATCTATGTCTTTATAATTTTTTATAATCAACTGATTTAAAATTGAGAATTTGGGCAGCCTCCACGATTTGGTGGGGGGAGCAGTTTATGGGGAGCAATGACCGAGGGCGCGGCTGCAGAGGGGGTGGGGGGAACTTGGTTGCAGCCCGGCGCAGCCCCAGCTGGCGGGCGGGGCTCCCCGGGGCTCCCCGTCGCCAGCGGGGCAGGGGCGAGCCCGGTGCCACCCGCTGCCCTTCGGCAGAAGGTAACACGTTAATAAAGCCCCCAGGGAGAGCAGCTTTCCCGGCCGCAATGAATAATTCATGGTGGGGAGATATTGTCTCTCCCGCCGCCGCCACTTGCGCGCACCGCGTCGGGAGCGGGTTTCGGCGCGGCCTTTGTCTCCCCGCGCATCTTACGCGCAACGTGTTGCGCCCGGGGCAGCGGGCGACGCGGGGCTGCGCAGGGCCGCAGGGCGGTGCGGAGGGGCGCGGAGGGGGGCGGAGCGGCCCCGCCTGATGCATCTGTGCTTCTCGGTGCTTGCAGCGGTGCCAGCGGCGGCCTGGGGGACGAGGCGGAACCGCTGACCAAGCGGCACATAGACGGCATCTTCACGGACAGCTACAGCCGCTACCGGAAACAAATGGCTGTCAAGAAATACTTAGCAGCCGTCCTGGGGAAAAGGTATAAACAAAGAGTTAAAAACAAAGGACGCCGAGTAGCGTATTTGTAGCGATGTGAGTAACCAGCCACTCCTGTGTATACAAAGTCCTAAGGGAGAGAGAGAGAGAGAGAGAAAGAGAGAGAGAGAAAGAGAGAGAGAGAGAGAGATAAACCCAACAACAAGAACAAAAAAATCTAAACAAAAACAAAAGTCATTTCCAAACTGACTGAACAATCACCGCTCCTGTGTTATCTAAACATGTATTTATGTATGAAGTAAAGCCATTAAATGAATATTTTGATAATAATATTGTTTTTCTTTTGTACAAAAGCACTAGAGAAACGCACAGATCTACTTTGTGGACCAATCATTAAGTTATATATAATATATAAATATATATATATATATACTACTAAGAATACTAAAGAACAATTCTTCATGAAAAGCCTGCACAAGAACAAGAATTCGCTGAGCTGTTTATGTTTTTATATAAAATAAATAGAAAAAAAAAGACAATCATTGTTTTGAATATTACTCCTATTTTTGTAACAGAAATTAAAAGGATAGTATTTTTATCCGCAACAGGGTCGAAGACATTAATTATCACCATTTGCTACTGTACATAGAGAAGGATGACCTGCTCCCAGGGGAATTATGAGGAAATTGATTTGGGAGAATTGGTAAAGCAGATACTTCCCCTAGTGAGTCTCAAGGCAGGCTCCTTTGCCACTAGCCTCTCTGATGGGGCAGAGTCCCCTTTCCTCTAGATTTCGATTATTTTTTTTCTCTCCTGCTTTATTTGATTACAATTGTATCTGTATTAGTGTCTCCTCAAACAATGAGCTTAGAGGATAATTCTCTTGCAAAAACAACAGCTCGATCCAAATTGTGCATCTCTGTTGCCTATTGGAGGGAGAAATAGTTAAAAAAACCATAACCAAAAGAACAATAGCAAAAATCAAATTAAAACTAAAGAAAGCCAAACTCTTAAACCCCAACCCAAAATTCCGAACCAGCAGCAAGGATAGTAAGTACTAAGCCCCGTGCACTGTTCTTCTGACTGGCTGGGCAGAGTTGCAGAACAAAGCCAAAGCGGAGACAGGACCCGTTTGGAAAGAGTGGGGAAGTGAGCGGGGGCGGCCCCCAGCGCGCCCCGGGGCCGGAGCTGGTACCGGAGCCGGTGCCGCAGGGTCGAGGTAAGACGAGGCGATCCCACCTCCGATCCGCTACCCAACTGCCCCGGGCAGCTCGGTACTGGACCTGGATGCAAAGTACAGTGTGTTACTCTCCAGTGCTGTCCATGCTTCTCATCATGTGTAATAATGAGCAGGGTTCTTGCCTTTGCATTTTTCGGTCGGAGTTGCTCTTTTCTTTGATTGCTTTTTCTTGTAGACCCTCCCGCCTCTCATCCTCTCTTCGAACTTTTCTGAGCTCTGTTTAACCCACCTGAGTCACCTTTTTGGGTTATGTTCTTTTTGGAAAAAAAAAAAAAAAGATTGTGAACGCTCTCTCACTCCTTTGTTCTGTTTTATGCAAGCTCTTATTGTACAAGTTTAGGAACCCCTGTTGTAGCTACCACTAAAGAATTATGCACTACTACGAAAGTTTTTGTTCCTTGTTTATTGAGTTTGGAGGTAAAATGTATTTTTCTACATTCTGGCTTATTGCTTAGTAAAATTTATTTCATAAAACAAACTTTTGTCATAAAAGAATGTGTAGTGTTCACCTGTGGTCCGGTTTCTAACGAGATAAACCATTTTCACCTCATCTCTCTATGTACGGACTCCTATCTTACCTTCCACCTGGGGGCTGGTTCTGTCCCCTGCCTGGGCCGGGGGACGAAGGAGAACACGTAGGTACCCGTTTCCTTCCAGCTCACCACACAAACCTTACAAGAGTCTTTCCAAAGACACAACACGAGCCCCGCATCCAAGACGTCGGAAAAAAAACAAAACCAAAAAACCCCTGGCGGGTAAAACCCTCCTTCCCAGGCCGGGAAGGGGCCGCCGGGAGGAGCGGAGCAGGGAGGGCAGAACCCGGCGGGGCGGGCGGGCGCTTGCCGGCACTGCCTGTCCGGGCTGCCCGGCTGCCCGCACTGCCGGCACCGCCCTGCCGGCCCTGCCGGGGCGGGCCCCCGGGGCACAGGGACGCGGGGCGCAGTGTGCAGCTTTCGTGCCTTCTCTTCACCTTGTAAATCGCCACGAGTTCACGGATGGCTATTTAGTGGCCCTACGATGCTGCAACACATCGGCTTGCGTTTTAGTCGTCCTTCTGTTCTTTGGCCATGGGCAGAGTGCGCTGTGTTTGTGTCGGCTGTGGTATAATGACATAGGGCTCTCGACGTTTTGTTTATGACCTTATCAGTTAGAGTTCAGTGGCTAGTCGCAAGCATTATGAAGTGATCGCCTAGGTTATTATCCTTTGTACGATTTCTTTTTTTTTTTTTAGAAACGCCAACAGCCTTACCAAAATTTGAGCAGATTTGAGATACAGTCATAGTAGGTAGATATTAGTCTTGGAGAACTTTTGTGTGCAAATGAATATAAAAAGAACTTAAACAAAGTATTATTACACACATGATATCTATAACTAGGACTTTGATAACTGTTATATAAAGTGTGTAAAGTTTGTATTAATAAATTTTTGTAAACAATGCAATTTCGTCTAATGTTTGGGGGAGAGAAATCTAGAACCTAACAGTGAAAGCTGCATTTCATTTAATTTATTTTTTTAAATTAGTTAATTTTTAAGCAGCGTTCTGCTGCAGTGTTTCATGCCTGGGATATCTTTTTATTAAGTCTCCACATTTTATCACCAAATGACCTCTAACATTTTTATCGATGGTTACTACTCTGTTCGAGTAAACAGAACTGCTGAAGTAAAGAGCCTACTTTCACACACACCAGCTCAATAATACTCTCTAAAATATGCAAACCAAACTGGTCGGCGCCTATGGTCCATTCCTCTAACAATTCCTGTGCTTAGAAGCCGTTTATTTTAAGCAGAATCCCGCCTGTTTGATGAGATCTTCACCTAATCCGCTTTTAATGAACATTCTGTATGCGACAATGTGCTTCCAAGCGTCACTCGGCTTGGGCAACGGCAGCATCTTTCTTTGGATTAAAGATAAACACTGAGCTGTCCTAAAAAAATTATACTGTAACATGACAAAGAGTTCCTTAGGTTTTACAGCGTAGTAGGTGTCTACAGTGAAAAAGCACAGTAGTTTGTCAGCACAAAGTGGAGGTGAGGATACCCAAACTTTCATCTTCACTTTAATTTAGCAATAGCTGTTTATGTTAATTATTTTTTGTTGTAGCTCCGGCACTTTACTCAAGTAAGTAAAGTATCAGCAATTTACTTTAAAGTAAACTCTACTTCTTTCTAAGATCATACAATTAAAAAAACAAAGCACAGGAATTAAATGACAATTTCCTAGCAATTGATTTTTCAAAACTCTTAAGTCCAGAATTTGAAACAAGCTGGTCATATCCTCTCTGCCATGAATTCACCTTCTAAGCTATTTCAACAACAGTATTTTACTGATTAACTGGACAACACCAGAGAATGTAGAAAACTGATGGCAACAGTGGTATATGTTAGGAATTACTGCAAAGTCAGATAAAAGTGCTCATTAAATACAGATCAGATGAGAAGAATGAAAAAAAATCCCAAAACATACCTGTTGGGGGGAGGGGGAGAGGACAGCGATTTCCCAGACTTACAGCATAACAAAATCCAGCCACTGTTTTCCAAGGACAGCATACAGCAAAAAACTGCTTGTAGGTTTATTCAGTAATTATGCAGTGCTGAGACACATAAACACACTACATTTCCATTTCCTGTCTATCAAAATTGAAAATGTGATTAAGACATCCTAGCTAAAGACCATCTTGGTATTGGTAGCTTGAGAACGAAGCTTAGGATCGGTCCACCTTAAAGATAAGGTCTTCATGAAGTTCTGGAACTTGCTGAAGATGCAAATTCTGCTGTAAATCACATAGAGATGGTCCTAGCCTCACTCTACTCAAATTCCTCTTTACCAAATCGAATACAGCTTCATGAAGAAGCTCAGTTCTGTTCCCATTGATTTAAACTGCCTCCTGAAATGATACACCTGGAAATTGTGCAATACCGAGTATTACAGCATGAGTTTTGTGGGGATTACCGGTGTTCTGTGTGCCGCTATATGACTAGCAGCAGAAATGGATAAAGTCAGCTTAGGGAACAAGAATGACCAGACAAGACATGGCTTGTATAAACCTCCTCACATTCAGTCAAAATAATAAACTGCAGTCAATTAGTAAAGGAAGCTGAACAGAGCAGACAGACTGCTCCAGATTCCAACCCTAGGAAATGTGGTACAACACCATACCTGTCACAGAGCTACATAGGTCACCAAAACCAGAAAAGCCAGTTTCTGTAGAGCCCTGTTTTTTAACCCAGCTGTAGCCAGCATCTGCCTTTCACAAGATGAGCTTATGAGGCTGTTGACCTCCTCTCCATATGCCTTTGGAGCCTTTCAGTCTTCTTCAAAACACACTTCATCTACTGTCTGTATATGTTTTCACCGAGAGTTAAGGAAAATAGAAAGTCAGAAAGAAATTTGATCTTTTGTGGGCTTGCTACTTGATATTTTTGCAACTTACTCTCCCCTTATAGGATAAATAATTTAGCCTTTCTTCAAGAAAAACCTTCAGGGGAAAGCACGTATCTGAAAAATGTAAGGACCTCATTCTTAGCCTCTAGAAGTACATGTCTTCTGAACTACATTCGTGGATTTTTGAGACCCAAGGGGACTCTTATGATCATCTACTCTCTTTTAGATAATACAGGGCATAGGATTTCATGGAGTCCTTCATTTAGCATTTCATTTCTGAGTGAGCTGTTCTGTATGACAGCAGTATTGATTGCAAAGCTTGCATGGATGGCAAATTTACTGGATAAGTTGTTTCAAATGTGGCAGTGTAGCACTCCGTTCCTTGTCTCAGTTTGTCTCATTTTTGAGTCCAGGAGATTTGTAACCTGCTGAAGAATCTCTAATGCCTGTGGATTTCCCTCTGCATGTAGGTAGTCCTAGGCAGAGATTTACTCTCCTCTGTGACCTTTCTTTGAGGTAGTAAGGTTGATCTTTAAGTGCTCAGCATGAGGAAGATTTTTCACAGGTGGCACTATTTCTGAACTATTTGTATTTATTAGCATCCTTGCTAAACTGTTGAGACTAGAAATGATTACAGTACTTAGCAGTGATCACCTTGAGGATATGACAAAAAGTAGTAACTTTCCTCTTCTTCATCAGGGGATGCTCATTGCTAACAAGGGTTGCATTTGCCCTCTTGGCCATTTTGTCCTGCTGTGAGATCATGATCTGCTCAGAATCCTCTCCCACAGCTAGCTTCTTTTCCAGATGATTACTTCGCATGCACAGAAGCCATGGCCTGGAAGTGACCAAGTGGTTCTTGGTACCTATTTTGTAGTGGTTTGTGTTACGTAGTGTTAAAACCTTTTTTTTTTTCAGATATTTTACCTTATTGAGCTACTATTCTGGGAATAATTCCTTTCTTTTCCTGCACAACAACCATGCTTTGTTATCTCAGCTGTTACCTGGCACCCATTTCTGCCACCTTTAGAAAGTGTAGACACATTCCAGCAATGCTGCTTGCGTATTTGTGTGTTGTGATACATGGACCCAATTCAGCTGCAATGCAGATGTGTATAATAATTCCAAAGAAGAATTTGACCCAGCTATAAGTGCAAATCCTGGGACAGAGCAAGTTGAAGTGACTTGTAGCAGGCCTCTAGATCTCCTTTTGCTCTTGGGTTCCTAGAGGCAATTGCATCCTGGCATAGCTGAAGTCCCGTTCATTCTAAACCTGTGTGGGACATTTGGAAGTGCTTTTTGCTAAAACCATGGCTCAGTTACTTACCTGGAATATGCACAGAAGAGAAGTAGTACATGATGCATTAGAGGTAATGTGGTTGAACTGCTAAACCTAATGCATCTTTTGAAATAATTAGTTAATTGGCTTTTGATAAGATTTATCTAAATGTAAAAATGGGATTTAGCTTTGAACAGGGATATTTGAACACCAAAAATATGCCAGTTTAAAAGCAGTGAAGGCAAGCTGTGTTTACCATTTATGCAAGAGTGTTTGTTTTGATACTTCAATAATGAAATATCTAGGAGAAATAGATGTATTGATTTCTGAAACAGTATAATTTATTTATGAGAGAGAAGATCTCTTTCTCTTCAGGCTCTGAGGTCATTTTCAGGCATTCTACTTCAGAAAGAATGTCATGGAGATTTTTGACAGTATGAAATAGAGGAGTGGAACAGAAAAATGACACTCACTTCTAGTTCTTCTGTGATGTCCTCCAGTGTCTCAATACCAGGATGTCATAGAATCATAGAATACACTGAGTTGGAAGGGGCCCATCAAGATCATTGAGTCCTACTCCTGGCCCTGTGCAGGACACCCCAAAAATCCAAACCATGTGCCTGAGAGTGTTGTCAAAACGCCTCTTGAAGTCAGGTAAGCTTAGTGCCGTGACAACTTCCCTGGGGAGCCTGTTCCAATAGTCAACTACTCTCCAGGTGAAAAACTGTTTCTTGATATCTAACCTAAATCTCCCCTGACTCAGCTTCATGACATTTCATTGAGTCCTGTTACAAGAGTGAAGAGATTGGTACTTGCCCCTCTCCTTCCCCTCT